GGCGGATCAGTGGGATCAGTGGATCAGGATCAGGGGATCAGGATCAGGGATCAGTGGGATCAGTGGATCAGGTTTTTGAACTCTCCTTTTTATCCTACTTACCTAAAATGAACCAAGCTTTTGTGTTCTCAATTCACTAGATGGCGTCAAACAAAACCAATACATCATCGCTCTCAGCACTGAGTCAAATTACCGAAGGAACAAACATTATCTCTGCTTCACGCATTTCTAATAAAAGATTTTGTATTTTCATTAAAAATCAACTAATGGTCGACGAACTTGTCAATAAGCATTCAACAATTTTTATAGATAACATAAAAATACCGATACCTACGTATACTGATAATCCAGTCGAAACGAATCATTCTAATATGTATATTCCCATTTCTAGAAAACTCAACTATCAATCTTCTCCCAAATCTAAATGTCAGAATACCATCTCGCACCATTAAAGGCTGGTTTTCAACCAATCAATTCACTCACATAACGCAAACAACTATTCATCAATCTGGATGATTTGAAAAAACTCCAGTTTTCAATCACGGTCAACCTGGGCAAACCTCATCGTATTTTTACAACTAATGACACAGTTAAAATTGAAAACGAAAGGTGTAGTGTTGATACTAACTCGCCGAGTCATAAAGTCACCGACGATGTTGTTATGGATACTCGAGAAGAGAAGAAGAACGTCCAAAGGTCAGCCTCAGAATCCACCCGTTAGCTATGATCTCCTGCCCCTCCTTCGACACATCCAATCCTTGATTTAGACAATGTAACACCAACTCATAATATATCTAATACAATCACTCACACCAAGAAAAACTTTAAACTAGTAACTCTAGATCAAGATCTACCTCATCAACTAGAAGCACAAATATTAGATATCCAACTCGAGTATGCTACAGCTATCTTCCAAAATAATGACACCCCCATAGGTCTTATCTCGTTCAAGGTTATTTTAGAAACTGTCGCTAGCAAAAATCTAAACGTACACGAAATATACAGTAATATTGTATCTAGCTGTGGTTCACAAAATGTCTGACAAATTAATACCTTTACTGGCTGATAGAAATATGAAAGCTAGAATGACCGTTTAACGAACTTCTAATTCCACTCTATGCCTCAAACTGAAGACCCCCTTTCAGATTAACAAAAGTCAACCTAAACAACCAACCCAAGAATCTCCATCTCTCTTCTTTCAACATTTAACTGTGAGCACAATAATCCCATGAAACATTCACATTCTACAAACGCTCAGTCGACATCAACCGCATTGTCTATGATTTTCAATGCCAAATATTTGCTTCTAAGAAACCAATCTAAAGTGTAACCACACTGCTCACATTAACATTTACTCGGGCGTTTTTAGAAACAAAACAAGTGGCGGCGTTGTCACCTTCATGAGTAATATTCGTAAACGAAAACATCTCTACAATGCCTGACCTTGAATTAAAAGCTACATTCGTAAAATTTTTGAGACACTTATGAATATGCAATATATATATTGCTGATAGTTAACCTCTACGAAACATTATATTGCAGTCATTATAGGCAACTCCCTAAACCCTTTGTAATATTGGGTGACTTCAACAGCCAAAATATGTGGGGTTGCTCTCACACCGATGATCGGGAAAAATCAGTAGAAGAATTGCTAGACGATGAGTCTCTTTTCCTTCTCAACAATAATTAACTAATGCGACACAACATTGGCAATGGAACTTTTTCGGCGAATCTGACATATAGTAGCAACGAATACTGGCCTATATGTATCCAATCCCTTGACTATTCGACCTAAATTAATCAAAGAATTTACTGGAATCTTAAAAACCTAATCTTGGACCTTTACTATGAATTAAACGAACATGCCCTCAGCAACATTTAACTAGATAAACATCTATATGATAGTCAAGAGAAAATTGACTCAATAGTTAATAAATTCACGGACACTATGTTAGATTCAGGAAATAAATCAATTGGACTTAAGACCAACCAAAACCCTAGGGTAAAAAATGTTCCATGGTTGAATAACGACTGTCAAGGTGCCTTTAAAAACTGTATAAAGAAACTCAACCGATACAAAAAAAAATTCTGATAGCCATTGACCACATATTTCTTAAATATGCTTGATCATAACTCGTTTTACCACTAAAAATAACAAAAACAATCTTTTGGCAAAAGTTAACAGAAGAAAAATAAAAAGTTTGTTCCCCTCCACCACAGTATATCTTATACTAATAAGTAATAAATTTACCCGTATAATCTGCACAATACAATAACAGAGAATTAATCACTCAGCAATATTAATGATAATATTAGATAAGATAAAATAGACAAAATAAAAAGTAAAATTAACGTGTTTTATCGATTACTGCAAGTAAAAATAAAAAAAATTAAATGTTGTTCTTAGAGCATCATTAAGTTAAATTAACTTAAATAAAGTACATTCAATTATTCAATAGTTTAAAACGATTATCAATAACGAATGAATCAAAATTACTTACCCTTTAAAAGCGGATGCAATTTAACCGGAACGCACTGTCCTAATAAATAAATAATTTTAATTAGGTTTGAATAAACTAATTGAATAATTTTTAAAAAAAGTTGTTTTTTTCAATCTTTTAAAAATTTTATAATCATATACAAATTTTGCTTTGAGTAAATAAATATTGGTTCTAAAAAAGTTGAACATTGTTTAGTTCGATAAATTTAAAAAAATTTTTTTTAATTTAAAATTTAAACAATTTGTTTGTTAATTGTTTTTTCAAAAAAAAATTATAATTAATAAATAATCTAAACAATGTACTTACCCAATGTAATCACTAAATAAGTATAAGATAAATGTCAATTTATTAAATTATGAGACAGACGATAACAATTTAAAATTATTATTTTTGATAATCCATTGATTTAATAGCACTAATATTATTTATGAATTTTACGGCCAGTCTTCCTATAGTATTACTAAGTATGTATATTTGATGAGATTATTGTGATTAAAGAACGTTTTTATACTATTGGGAATTAGTAGTTTAAAGTGTCATTGCGTGATGTATAGAATAAAACAATTTACTCTAAAAGTCTCAAGTACGTACCAATAGTATTTTTAAGGTACAACAATTATTCATTGTTTTAACATATCATTTTGTCCAAATTTAAATTTAAAATGTATGTAAAAATTAACTGGTTTTGTATATATTTTAGGTTTGTTGGTTACAGTCTGTGCTATTTATGAAAATAAATTTTTAAATTTTTATTCCTTAACCATATAAATAGAACATTTTATACTTTTTGATCAACACAAAATCTTCTATTCTAACTTTTAATCGAAAATAGTAATATAGACATTCGATGAAAATGTCATGCAACTGTGGTAATTTTTTTTTAGAGTTACACCAAAAATCAAAATCGCAATCAATGCTCAATCTTCAGCAATGAAAATTAAAAATGTTCTAATGTTTTAACTACAAAATAGTTTTTGAATTTGTGTGACTTGCTCATAAGAAAATTGAGCATTAAATTATACATCTTTAATAATATTTTAACCTCTAATAATACAATTTATAAAAGGTAGCTCATCTTGTTAGATTATGAGTTGAACATTTTAATGGATATTCGTAGAAAACTGGAAATTTTAAATTTTAAAAAGTGTAAAAAAATTATTTATATGTTTTAATGCAAGGAAAATGCTAATATACATTTGGTGACAATTTAAAGTATCTATACGGTTATTTGTTTTCACATCAGAAATCATTAATTTAATATTGAATATTTTATGTTGTTCAAATAATTCAATCATTCAATAAAAACTAATTCCTAAAAATCTGACCCTCCGTATGTTGGTTATAAACTAAGATCACTATTTTAACTAAAGTCATAGGTTTATATAATGTGGTATATCATTTTTTTATATACTTATTTAAAAAATTAAATACACGCAGCTTCCGATTAAGATGATCGTACAAAATGAATATTACTATAAATAGATTTTATTAGTTTTCATTAAGTTTTAGTTTTAAATTGCTAAAAAAATGTACATTAGTAAGCGAAAAATATTTGAGACACATGCCTATTGTTTTTAAGTAGAAAATAATTCAGGTTATTTTTGTGTATAATAATATTATTTTAAAGTTTTATTAAAATAAGAAAATTCCAGGAGAGCTTCTTGAACATAGCGATAGAAAATGGTATCTATATAGTGACTAGTCGGTAGGTACCCTTAAAGGTTAGTTTTATTTTTCAATTTATTTATATAATGATAAATTACTTTTAAAAACTTACATATATTTAGTATTGTTGTCGTAAAAAAACTTTCATCCTCCTTAATGATTGATATGACTATAACAATATTGATAAATGTATTTACTTAATGTTTTTCGGGCGGTTGGGATTCGAATTTGCAATTCAACTGATTCCTTATTGTTCGTTTTCGTGATGGATAACTTAAAAGTTAAAAGGATTTAAACGCTAACCTCTAGCCGAGGTGGTGAGACCGAATCATAAGGGAGGCTTTCAACCATAAGTAAAATATGAAAAAAACATATTTCCGGAAAAATTAAGTTAGTAAAATATGTTTTAATATTATATTGTTTGGAAGAAATACGAAATATATTTTAATGGTAAAAAAAACCCGAATCAGAATACACGCGGCACTGAACAAGCAAAAAATTACCTTTGGAGAAAACATCGATCAAAAAATATAAGAAGGTATACATCAGAGTATACGTATACACACAGTAAAACCTCTTTAAAACGAAATCGACCTATACTAACTGATCTTATAATTATCTATAAAAGAGTTTCAGTTGTTGGAAAACTTAAATATATGGGATATAGGTTATACCGGACTGTTGTTAATTTTAGTAGTTAACAGATTTTCCTCTTAAGGGGGTCCGTTATAAGGAGTGTTTACTGTGGATACATTTTTGTCAGTATGTAGGTACACTGACACCGTCATGTCTGACGCCAATCTATTCCGTCCATACGTTTGAATGTAATCGGCAATATTTATTCAAAACTTACGGCGACATCTCACGTCCATCACACGTCACATGTAATCGAAAAGAAAGAAACATATGTTCGTCGATGATGTAATAATTACATCTTCATACAACACTGAAGTGGTCAGTAACGACGTAATTCATAATGAAGTTATTAATAACTATAAATAGGATTAAACATAAGAAAACTGGCCATGGTTGATTTGAAACTATTTTGTTCGGTAGTAAATACGTTATAATAACATAAATAACAATGAACTTCTTGTATGCCACTTGATGAGGAAACTGCAAAACAAAAACTACTCATCTATGGTTTTGGAAAGAGAAAGAAAAATAAAATTTTTGAAAATGAATACATAGGAATGTGTTAAAAGTATAACTGAACAATGTGTCTAACGGACTTGAACTAAATAAAAAAATAGTTAGAACAAGGTCATGAGGAGTTCGATAGATTGAATTCCCGTGTTCTGAGGGAAGAATTTGATACAAAACTAAAAGAAAATACCTCGGCCGAAGAAAGTGGCAGAAATTGATTAAATTAAAGTGAAAAAAAAGGATGATCATGAATAAATGCAGAAGTGGCATTTTAAATTCGTGAAGGATACATATATAATAACACATGATTCTTAACCTTTGACGTTGCAAAGAGCAAAATTATTAGCATTTCGATGAAAATGTTATCAGCATTTTATTAACCAACTGACCCATGTGTTACAAATGTTAACAAAATGTATGTAAATAAGAATGGAAAATAAAATCCAAGCCAGAAGATCAGTTTAGGCATAGGAATAGTAATTGAGAAAATAAAGTCAATGCATAAGCACATATTTAGCCTGTGTAGATACATGCAAAGCATTTGACAATGTCAACTGATGGATAAATAAAATAAAATATAAAATTTACTGATTTCATAGATTTCGTAAACTTGTGTTTATGTTTATAATAAAAACTGTTCTGTTAACACAATAGAAATGTTTTATGAATACTATATTAACTAAATAATATAAACAATACTTACATTTGTATACTATATTTTATATTCGTGAACAATAAAAATAAACGATTTAATTGTAGATATTTTTTATTAGATATTTATATAATTTTTTTGTATTTAATCATATAGGTGATAAAACAAAATAGATAAAATAGTAATACAATAAAAAAAATTATATTTATCACACTCATAAAAAACGCATTGAAGTTATTTTTACGGTTGATACCGATTTGGTTCCCGTTTTAAAAAAGTATTTTATTAACTAACCAGAAAGCTGGAGTTCTCGGATGTTTTTTTATATTAATAATATTATTATTTATTTATTTGAAATAAATGGGCATAGTAATACTAGGCTGGCAGAAATAATCCACAAACATTGGTTCAGGTAATAATAATATATTTTTCTTTTGTTGATTTATGAATTATGAATGACAATAATTTATCATCAAAAAAGCAGATTTTTGCATAGGAATCGACCAGAGAAAAATAATAAACATAGAGCATAATATTTATATATATGCAAAAACCAAGTCATTCCGTGATTTTAAATTATACATATTTAATATAGTAGTCAAAGTGGCTCAAAATAAGTTTAGGGATGCCTTTCATAATTAATATGTAGTTCTCATATATTGCTTAAACTGTTGTACAAAATAAGTGGAGGGATGCCATCCCACTGTATCCCCCACTTTGACCATTGCATGTATAATGTATATATAATTTAAAATCACGGGATGACTTGGTTTCGGTATCCTGTGACTGATGTCACTATAAAAAAATAACAAAAACATAATACATTGGTATCCGAGTGGACGTCACCATGAGACAGAAATATTATAAATTTAATGAATTATATTCATAATTAAATATAATTAGGTATGGAGACCGGCCACGATGGGAAATATTTACATAAATAACATTACCCGAAAACATTGTCAAGTGCGGCCCCAAATGCGCATCAGCAAAAACAGAGCTTACTCGCTTGCCTGTGGTCTCATAAACGGAGGAAAATATGTAATGATCTCCGTCGCTCTATCTGCCAATCCTCAACCTTTTTTTTCTGCCAAAAACAGGTGATAGGCCACGAAGGGGGATGTACGTGCGCGTGATTCATGTTTGTGTAATTATAGGCTGATACTCTCTGGGCATCAAAATAAAGGTATGGTGGTTGTATGTCCAAGGATACCTCACGGGTACAAAGTGGGGAGCGTGTGTGCGCCTCGCGTTAGCCGACAGTTGGTGTGGTCATTGATCGCAGAGAGTCCTAAGATTATATGATTAAAACGCAGATTATCATTTATGGAAAAATAAAGCCAACATCGATACAGAGAAAGAAAATTGTTTAAGCTGATGAAATAAGTGTAATGGAAAACTGACTACCTAATAGAGATAAACGTCTTTGAGCGAACAATTATTTTTATGACATGTAAAATATAATCACCTGTTACATATAAAACTCTTTCTTTTTATGATTATTTAAAAATTAAGTATATTTAATGTACAAAACCAATGAGTTCTACCAACGTGTCCTGAAGGATACCATGTAGTGGTGCTCATACTCGTAGGTAATCATATAAGTGTTCTCCTTCCATGGAAGGTGCAGGTGAGTAGCGAGATTTAAAAAATATAATTGTACTTACAAAACATAACTTCATGATATTCTCCAGCGTTTAGGTTATTGCAGTTGAAAACTGTAAAATGTGTAGTTTTATTTAACCAAAATATTAAGAAAAAGAAACCATCCTCAATTATATCCTCGCATGAAAGGTGCACGTGCATGACAAGCCCCTAAAAAGGCCAAATCGTAACAAGTATGATCTTTTGGTAATTGATGCTTAAGAAATAATAAAGTATTTTTAAAATGTAATTGTACGTCTATCTCTAGACTCAGAACTATCTTCTAATTGTTTTTCTAAGTAGGCTGTAAAACGTGCAGTTTAAAATATAAATGAATACCAAAATATTAAGAAAAAAATAATGACCTTCGTTTATTTTTTACTTTATAAAGTCATCATTGCTCTTCTTCACTTCAGTAATAAAATTAACAAATCGGCAAAGCACGATTCCGTACCTCTTACCTTTTTGGGAATACATTCCCGTTCGACTTTGATCAAGGATCAAACAATGGATTGTCAAAATATCCCCCAAAACAACACGATTAAGTACAATTTTCTGTGCAATGTTGCCAATTATTATTTATTATTTTTAATAATAAACATACATTAAAGAAAGAAATCAGTTTTTTTCTATAATATAAAAGTGTCATTGATAAGGAATCGACCAGATACAGCATGATAATCATGAACTAAGATAATATGGATTGGTAACGGTTTGGTTGGCGGATGGTAGCGGTGCGGTCAAGTTTTAATACGTGGTTATCTAAGAGGGGGTATTTATCGGATTGGGGCGATCCTTGTGTTGTTTTTTGTAGCTATCATAATATTGTATATCGTGGACCGTTGCTTTACAAAATATTTTTAAAATTTAAGGTAATTATACTTCATAGTAAATATATTTCATATTATATTATATTATATTATATTATGTTTCTCGTTTCTTATACCTACTGGGCACTGCCTACTGCCTAATAATTTGTATATATTAATATTTTGCTTGTTGTCTGTTGATAGTGTAGTGTGTATTTTTTTAAAATTTCATCTATTCTATGATATAAATGTACCTACTAATATAGTATGTATATTACAAATTCAGAGTGTATTGTGTGTACTGTATTTCCCTTTTTAAAAAACTACTATTACTAGGCAACAAATACAATGGTAATTAGAAAAATAAGGTAAAACCAGGTTGTTCATAAATCAAATATCAGTGGACTGTATTGTGTATATAACAGCACATCACAAACATAAACAAATCATAATTATGGTACAAATATTATAATACGGGGAGTAGGCGCCCATCTACTATATAAAATAAATTTAGTTTGATAATAATACTAAAGGAACGGAACCTTAATCCGTGATATTACAAATACTAACAACAAATAACAATATTTATGATAATACAAAAATGATAAGGATATCGCGTATCATGCATATGCTACGCGTTACCGTCAAGTGCCACTAACCGAAGCATAACCTCCAAATGTTGAAGTGTGTGAAAAACCTTGCAGTAACTGCTGCCGCAATCCCGCGATCCACGTGCAGCTGCTGGTTGGCCCACAATATCTTATCCGGCACCAAATTGGGAGGCCCGATGCACTCACCTTCGCACCCGCGCGCGATATAAAATAAATAAAAGAAACATAAAACTCGTGCCCGGTGCACCAGAAACCAACACGAAGCTACACACCGCCCGCGCAGGTGTAGACCATGTTATATTATTGACGGGTGCACCCAAAGACAGATCACGCGTGAAGTCGATTGACCAAATATTATATTATACGCACACGACCCGCTGTAGGCACCATATTCGCACGATACATCGACGACCGAATTCGCCCCGTGACGTGCCACCGATGGCAAAAGAACAAAGAAAAAGTACGACGACCGGTATCGGGGATCGTGACCACGCGCGCAAAAATAGCAGACTGAGCAGGAGACACAGCGCGAACGGGGCACAGATGCGACGGCGCAGGCGCGCTCGCAACCGGGTTGCATTAATTATATTTTGACAATTAGCTGGCGCACTCTGCCGTTGTCTGGTCCGAACACAGAGTTTATTACATACCTATTCAATTTTTACAACTGTGTAACTAATTCAATTCAGTTTTACCTACCAAATATTGAATATGAATATTGAATATATTGGTTACAAAATAGTATTTAACTTTTATTTTTAATCCAAAATGTTAAAATGTAAGTTTTATGGATATGTGTATTATAAAATTAATGTTTAACTAATTTTGATTTTTTTTTTTAATGAACTTCTTTTTTTTAAGGTCTCTGTTTTGGAGTGCTGTGTGCCTGTGTGTTGTCTCATCCTATTTTGGTATCGCATCCATTAATTGATTTCATAATTTCTGCCCAAGAAGAAAACGATGCCTTAGGAATACTAAAAAAGCTGCATTCCCCATCAAAACGTTTGCAACTAATTATACAACACTTTCTGGACATTTTTAAAAATGAATACCTTATACTTAAGAGGTAAGTGTATACTAATAAGAAAAAAATATAAGTCTTTCAAAATGTGTTTTATTATAATTTCATGACAAGTTTAATACAGTTTTTAACAAGTTATTTGCAATATTCTACATGTTCAGTTATGTTATTTGAAACTTATGTCATATTTTTGTTTTATTATTGTTTTTGTCCAACAGATGTCGCTTCAGCTTCACAATTTCTCCCACCACTAAAAGTCCGTATTAAAACCTGACCGCATATTTTATCGTTTATTTGCCAGTCCATATTATCTTAGTTCATGATGATAATGCACCACCGATTAATCTTACCCAAATAGGTAATATAAATTTTTTTAATGTTTACCCACACAATAATGAATCTTTTATTATGTACATTAAGATAAACCCTATACACAATACACATACACAGATAAGTGGCATAATCCGATATTTCTGTATATTAAATAATGCCTACCAGTGGTTATCCATTTTCTAAAGTAATAAACGTAAGTTCGTTTTTCGTATTGACTATTTCAAAATTTGATATCTGTAACGTATTCACCAAAATGTATATGTTACGGTGAATAATGTAAAAGTTGTAAATGTCGCCATTCTCCGGTAAACGATGTAATTCACCTAAAAATTGGTAAATGTTGACATTCCCCAGTTATTGCCGTCAATCTCAGTTTAGTTGGAAAATGTCGAGAATGATGTTCAATACATTTTATGTCGGTGTGAACGATCATTGATATATATGTAGGTACGCGAATAAGCTTCATTAGATAAAAATATCATGACGGAAGTAGATAAGAACAATTTTCAAAGCTCGAAGTGGGTACAACTGTTCGTGTCCCAATATCAGATGTTGGTAAATCTCGAGATTCTCTACGTAATTTACTTGCTGTTATTATTTTATGTGAAGATGACATGTATAAATTATGTAAGCCAATTTCAATTTGATACATTTATTTAATTTCAAATAAATAAATACCCGAATGTTTGAACCAGATACTGAATACGGCGCGTTGAAACACAAATATACACTAGTTCAAATTCCCCTGTGTAAAGAAAAATTCCTATAACTAGATGAAGCTATGAAAAAAATTAAAAATAGGGAATAAATGACATTACGAGAAGCCGCAGGGTAAGGAATAGCTTGTCATCAAGGCTTCAATTCATGCAACCGCAAAACTGGTTGTGGCACTAAAAAATGTGCTTGCAATGCTGCAGAAATGTAGTGCAAAATGTCATGGTAACCAAAACTGTACAAAGAATTGATTTATAATATCCACCTATTTTATTCATTCCAACGATAAATCATTATTAAATGGTACTTACATATTATGGTAAAATAATTAGTGTATTATTTGAGATTTATCATCATTTACCGCCAGCTCTGGTAAATTACATCAATGGCCGGTGAAAGATGACCATTTGAGTTTAAAATGTGTTTTTTTACATCATTTACCTACATACTTGAATTATTTTGGTAAATTACGTCATTGAACAGGGAATTCACCAATTTTCGTCTTTCACCGTAACATATACTCAAAATTATATGGTTACGACTGGTGACTAGGTAAAATGTTTAATGTTTAATGTACAAGATATAATATCACAATTTATTGTAAAGAATTAAAATATTATAACTCATGACACAACAAAACATTATCTGGTACATAACGATTGTGTATTTGTGTCACTGTTCTATTATTGTATGTTGTATACATGTTACACTAATATTTACTTAAGGGGATTCGATACCGTCATTTTCTGTTTTTGTCTAACACACGCGTGACATAGTAATTTAGACGTATTTTTTGCCAAACATACTAATTGATCTAATGAAGCGATAATAAATCTGAAAACAGATTTGAATTTTTCGTCAAGTCTACTTGAAATCGACTTTCCCACATTTATGATTTTTTGATTTTAACTTCTCCGAAATTGAAATACAAAAATTTTTAAATGCTCTTTTTTAATATGACATTTTTAGGAATTTGGGGGATAATATCAAAAATGTGGGAAAGTCTATTTCAAGTAGACTTGACGACAAATTCAAATCTGTTTTCAGATTTATTATCGCTTCATTAGATCAATTAGTATGTTTGGCAAAAAATACGTCTAAATTACTATGTCACGCGTGTGTTAGACAAAAACAGAAAATGACGGTATCGAATCCCCTTAAATGTTAGACAAGTAATAAATATAGTGTATATTAAATACACTCAAAACAAAACACAATATTTACATTTTAATATTTTTTTATTTAGTCATAATGTGTTTTTAAAAATTGCATATCCAACTTTTGTCAACTTAGAGATATTTATTGACGTATACAATGGAAAACACTAATTCTAATTCAAACTAATTCAAATAGTCTACCTAAGTAACTTTATGAAATCTGACAACATTGCATTAAAATCTTATTTACAAAAAGTACGGAATCGTGTGCCTTAAAATGTAAACAATCACGTTCACTGATAAAGAAGTTCCGGAATCGTATTCTACCCTATACAAACAACACTTATACCGCATTAAAAAAAAATACTTACACAGTGTTTGTAAAGAATTGTCATTTTCACTTTGCCTAACCGTGGAAGCTGAATAATGAAAAAAAAAGTGATTTCGTTTTTAATTCACAATGCTTTCTATTATCGCACAAACATGGCCTAATACCGTACAAAATGCACAATCAAATACCGCATCCAAAAATGATATGATACATCACAGATTTATAACAATATAAAACCTAACTTTGCATACAAATATGGTAGTAGTAAAAGTAATTGAAAATAACATTTCTATATTCCATATAGTAGATGTATAAAAGTTTGTATATAAGTCATAGTATAAATGTTGCGTCCCCACTGCGTATGGTGCCGCGTCGGGCCCAGTAATATAGTTTCATGAGATAAGATATCGTCGCTCACATGACCTACGGTATTGTTTTTTTTTTTTGTATGCGACAGTCGTTGTCCGTCGATTGTCTGTGCAATGTCGCGTACGGCAATAAAATGTATATATATGTATAAATATAATTATAAAGTATTGAAAATTTTTAAATTACAATAAATCGTAACAATCTATAAAATCTGATTTTCATATCTAAATACAGTTCACTAACGCATCTCATATAACTGTGGTCTTCATGGCTATACAGTATATAAATTTTGTTTTACGTCCTGTTTTTTTGTACCTCTGTCCCATTATTTCCCGAAGAATCATTGGGACAACTACAATGTCCCGTTTTCAGTAGTTAAACCAAAAATTAACGAAAAAAAAAAATCGTGTGCCAGCTGGAACTGAGTACCAGAAATTAGTGGGCTAAGTCAAAACAAGATGACTATAGCACTAAAGCCTGCCATCGAAAGAGTTTTGCCGTTATATTAACCACTCAGGGATTATTTCTTCGGGATGAAAAGGTGATCAATAGTTTTAAAGAATTCCTTCTAGTGTCTAAATTCTAAGTTATGGTTTTTATTTATCATGTGATCGACTAAAGTTGTGTACGATGATGGAATTCCCAGTATTTTAAAATCTGTTTGCAGTTTTGTCCTATTGTTATATTGGAGCATAGTACGTAGTTTTATTAGAGTAGTATGATATGTATACTGGCGTATGTGACTACGGGAATGGACGCTCGAGCTGGAATCTGCTTATCCAGCAATTCCTACCCTGGTCGTTGCACAGAGGGCTCCTTGGTCACGGCCGCCCAGTTAGTCGTAGAGTTATACACACTCAGGCAGAACCTCATTTGTTATACAGAAAATCTATGTAATAAGTCTAGAGTAATTAAGCATTTAGGATACAGTACATTGTAGTTTTCGTAATAATAAACACATCTTTTAGTAATTTAATAAGCGCCTTTGCGTATATTCTTTCAAAATACGTCCTTGCTATCTTCACTAAGAATAACAACGTGCCGGTACACATCATTTGATGGCAGCGGAAGTCAACAATTTTATTGCGAAATAAATTGTTGAAGAACCTACCTGTACTACCGATTTTCTTTACGGATAGAGCAATGGGCATTCGGCAAAGCATCAAGTAATTACAATAAGAAACTCCAGAGCATCTTAGAATCAAAACGAAGAATTTACAGAGCATCAAGATTTTCAAGTCCGTATATTCGTATATTATACAATACGACGAACGAGCGTCGCGTACAAAATCAAAAAATCTAGAACGTCAGCACCAACAACGACAACGCCGCCGCCGCCGCCGTCGCAGAAGCCGAGAGCAGTCTAACTACGAACGTAACCGACGACCGTCGTGTCTACACGACACACCAGCTACACCGAACGTGTGCGGAGTGCCAAGGCCGCGAGCTCCACCACCACCGTGATACATCGAAGAAGACGCCGCCGCCGCCGCAATAACCATATCACAGCTGTTGTCACCGCGTATCAATCATAACAACCGAAAACCATAACAGCAATATTTTACTATATATAGCCGCCTCATTCTTGTGAGTTACCCAATCATTCGTTTAAATCGCAACGCATAAGCTCAAGCTGATTTACTCAGTTGTGAAATAATATAAAATCAATAATAGTACGGTTTAAGGGAAGGGAAAATAAAATAAAATAAATATATTAAGGCAACTGTGAATAATTTTGTACTATTATAATTTTATATTATTTATACTATAATTTTGCAGTACACTTTTATTTTTTTTTATTATTTATTTGCTTTTTTTTTACTGTTGTGTGTATGGAATCGGAAAGGTAATTGTGGAGAACCATTTATTTAATTGCTTTTGGTATGGTATGATTATTCATTCGGGCTAATTATTTGTAATCATTAGTAGTCTATGTCAGATACGGACCAAAACGAAACTATTAGTTCTGAAAATCTTATAGATCTTGAAAGTAGTGTTAGTGTCCTTTCTAGTGGAGAACTATACGAACCCTCTGACAAATTTGACTCGGACGATAGTAGGTACAACAATAATTTATCTCAGGCAGGATATATTCTAGATAGAACGAACAATTCTATAGGTAACACTGACTCGGTTCTCGAAGACGCAAGAAATTTACTTAACTTAATTCGCAAACAAAATCAAGCAGTAGAAGAAAAAATAATGTCGACGTTTATGATCACACACCAAGCTTTAAACTTGATCCCTATGTTCAATGGAGAAAATGCTGATGATAGTTTTGCATTTCATAATGCGTGCGAATATGCGTTACAAAGCATCGACCCAGCGGAGAAAGAAAATCTAATCAGGGGCATAACAACTCGATTAATAGGCAAGGCCATACGCCTATTTAGACATAAAAAACCTACCACCTACAAAGAACTAAAGGAAATTTTACACCTCACCGTTAATAAGAAACAGACGTTAACACATTTACATTCGAAATTATCAACGTTCAAAATAGTCGTGGGGGAGACTATTCAACAGTATAGTGACAGGACTGAGCAATTATATTACAATATTATAGAAGCATCAATAGCGACAAATGAAATTTCTAATACGGAAGACTTACCTAAGATAACGGAAAGGCAAATTTTATCAGCATATACCGAAGGATTAACACACTACGATACAAAGATTTTAGTAAAAGCTAGTAGACCGAATAAATTATCGGAGGCCATCCAAATTGCTTTGGAAGAAGAAACTTTACGCATAAACCAAAAAGAAATTTGCAAAAACATTAACGATTATAAAAACAATAGGTCAGATTTTAAGTCAGGTAATAGTTGCGCGAGTAAGGCAAATTCGGTACAAAAATCGAACAGTAGACCACCTGGCGCTTGTTTTCGCTGTGGACGTACAAACCACCAGGCAAGACAATGCCATACTTCAGAAGCCGATCAAGCCCGTTACAGAGAGTCGCAGAATAAGAATAAAACGGAAACAAAAGCTATCAGAATAGTTACGTGCAACTATTGTAAAAAGCCGAACCACACTATAAGTGAATGTCGCAAACGGAAATATGTTAATGAACTCAAGGCACAGGAGCAACATGGCACATCGTCGGGAAACGAGCAAACACCGGGCCCAAGTGGCGCCCGCCCGGTGGGGGATATCAAAACAACCACTCTGAACCTGCAAGGGCTTTCTATTTCGTGGCAGAATTAATTAATAAACATGTTACGCTAAACATTCCACAGTGCATAGTAGAAAATGTTAAATTACTTATAGTTACAGGTAGTGATTTGAATATGATAAAATTATCCACTCTAAGAAATGAAGTAATGGTTGATGAAACTCAAAGCTATCAGTTAAAAGGAATTAATGAATATTTAGTACGCACTTTAGGTTCTGTGATCCTCAATTTAAATCTAGGAACTGAAACTCTTACAACCAAATTCCAGGTAGTTCATGATAATTTTCCAATTCCTCATGAAGGAATTTTGGGAAATCCATTTCTCACCGAAAATCGTGTTGCAATAGATTACTATTCGTCAAAGATCTTTCAACTCAATACCGATCCTCTTACACTTTTGCCTCGTTCAGAAACTATTTTTACAATTGCTAGCTCAAGACCGGAAGGAACAGTTTTAGTAGTTCATTCACAAAGTCTACAAAAGGAAAACGTTTGTCTTGGGAATGTGGTTAACATAGTTAAACAAGGAAAAATCTTAGCTACTGCCATCAATACTTCAGAAAAGCTTATCACAATACCACCTTTGAAAATCGAAGAAATCGAGTTTGAGGAATCCCGCGAAATCTCAATGCTGATTGCAGCAAATACAAACGAAATAACTGATGATAGGCATCGCATTGATTACATTCGGGAGGCTATAACATTTTAAAAATTAAATGCGGAAGAATCAGATAGTCTCTGGAAGGTGATTGGCGAATATCCGGATATTTTCCACCTAGAGGGAGATTCATTTTCCTCTACCGATGCAATACAGCACGAAATCCATCTAAAAGAAGGCGCGAAACCTGTTAATGTTCGACCGTATAGACTGCCTTAAGCTCACCGTCAAGAGATTGTAAGACAAATGGGAGAATTGGAAAACCACAATATTATACAGCCATCCGAGTCCCCGTGGAATGTACCACTGATCGTGGTCCCAAAGAAACCAGATGCCCAGGGAAACCCAAAATATCGAGTATGTGTAGATTTCGGACGCCTTAATGAACTGACTATTGGAGACGCATACCCTATACCTAAGATAGATGAAATTTTGGACCAATTAGGCCGGTCCAGATACTACTCTACGTTGGATTTAGTCAGTGGATACCACCATGTATCAATTAGGGCAGAAGATCGTTAAAAGACAGCTTTTTCTACTGACAAAGGCCACTATGAGTTTCGGAGAATGCCATTTGGGTTAAGCGGAGCTCCCAGTATATTCCAACGCTTAATGAACAAAGCTCTAACGGGAATTAACGGTATCAAGGCTTTCGTATACTTGGATGATATAATTTTTTACGCTTCGGACTTAAAGGACCATAAATCCAAACTGAGAGATGTATTTGCAAGGCTTAGAAAATTTAATCTCCTTTTACAACCGTCAAAGTGTCAATTCCTACGAACAGAGGTCATATATTTGGGACATCTCATTACTGATCCGGGAAAAATCGAATGTGTACGAAATCATCCAGTTCCCAGAAATACAACAGAAATTAAACAATTCT